CATGGAAATTCAATAAAATAAAAAAGTAAATAAAAATGAATTCTCTGTTAATAATGAGCATTATTAATATAAATTTAATAAATTATTTATAAAAAAAAAAAATAAAACATCTATTATTATAAAAACTTTTAATGAGTTTTATAATTAAATAAAATTTATAAAAAAGTCAGTTGTACTGATTGAATTTGAAAATTACTTCATGTGAAAAAAGAAGATTCTTCTCACAGTGAAATAATTTAAAATTGATGATATTTTTTTAAAAAAAAAAGCAAACTGATTGTGATGATAATGTCAGCATTGATATATAATAATTTTGAAAAGAATGCAATTTATAATTAATATATAATTATATAATTACATATGATTTTCAATTGCTTCATAAATAAAATCTCATTTTGCTGTGTTTAAGAATTCTGAATTATTTATATATTTTTTATAATTTATTATAAAAAACAACTTCACTGAGAGATCTGCTGTTCTGAGAATAAAGTTATACAAGAAAATAACAAGTATAATAGTCAAATTAAAGAGTTTTGATCATGTATTTATTGAATGCTTGATTGTTATAAGAACTGATTATATCTGTCTAGAATATAAAATTAAAGATTTTATATTTTTTGATTGTTAATTTACTGATATGAGTAAAGAATGAGCTTCATACATCAAGATTTGTATGAATCAGATTGAAAAAATAACATTGAACTTTTAGAAAATGATTTTATAACTTTTTACCACAATATTCTTTTATGATTATCAACAACAAATGAATTCAATATTAATATATTTAAAAGCTCTGTCAACAACACACAAAATTTCAGATGCAATAAAAAGAATAAAAAAAATAAAAATAAAAAATACAAAAAAAAAGAAGAATTTCAAATCTAATAAAAAAAGCAATGAAGTATAAATTTACTTTTATTGTCAAAAAATTAATTACATTCAAAATGATTGCTGAAAAAAAATACTTAGAAAAGCGTTTCTTCAATTTCAATAACATCAATAAAAATAAAAATAAAAATAATGCTGATATTGATATTGTTTTTATTTATAATATTGTGGAACAAGTATTCTGTATATTAAATAAAGTCTATATAAGTGATCAAAAATTCATAAAAGATATCTAAATTTTGAACTCAGATGTGAGTGCTCATACAACATTTTATAAAAATCTTATTATAGTAAAGCCTCAGAAATATACTATTAAATTAAAGATGGCAAATGAAATAGTAATATCTACAGCAGTAATTAATGATATGAAAATTGCTATTAAAAAAACAAATATACTACTAAGTGACATTTACTACATTCTGAAATTGAAAGTAAATATCATAAATATGAGTAAGTTTATACATCAAAGCTTTATCTTTAAGCAATTGATGTATGATAGCAACCATACTATATTTTTTATATCTCTGAATAGAATATTCTTCTTCACAGTGAAGTTGAATGAAAATGATATCTACAAAATGAAGAAGTTGACTATCTTCAAAAATTTAATCTGATTCACTTTATTCAACAGCAAATTTGAATCTGTCAATGCTGTAGTAAATGACACTATAAATGATATCATATTAACACTGTTTAACAATAATATAAAAGTTGTAGAATTAACAATGACACAGTAGCATTAAAAGTTAAAGCATTTTAATTTTACAAATATTTTTAAAATAGCATCAAATTCACATTTAAAAATAAAAATCATTAATTAATGAGCTTTATCATTTTGTAAGATCTGTGTTCAAACAAAGATGACATATTTAATTTTTACATTCATGATGCAGATCATCAAATCAGTGATGAAATTCTTCATTAATTTAATAAAAAATGGAAAAATATTTTTTGACAGAAATGATCTATTCATTAAAAAAGATATTAACTATTGAATAAAGATAATAAATGATGTTATAAGATATTGATAAACAATTTTAATGATGTCAAAAAATGAATCTATTGTAAAGTTGATGAATTTCATCATAGATATTAAAGCAACTACACAATGCTGTGTAAAGATTTTATATTGAAATGATGATAGTGAATTTAAAAGTCAGAATTCAAAGACTTATTGTCAGAGTAGAGAAATTGTATATGAAACAATTATATTTAACACATTGTAATTGAATAGCTCTGCAGAATATATCAATAAAATTGTTATAAAAAAGATAAGAAATCTTTTATTTAATAATAAATTGATTAAAAAATTGTAACATAAGATGATGCAAGTTACAATTATGATGATTAATATATTTTCAACATTGATCAAAATATATTATTATTATTATTCTTCTTTTATTATAAATATATGCAGTCAGTGACTATGACATCTATCTGAAATACTTCAAAATTTTTCAACTTAAAAATAAGTTAATATATAAAATCAATTTGATATATGTAATAGAAGAATTCTAGCTCAAAATTAAATAATTATTCAAATTATTCAAATTATTCAAATTAAAAAAAAATGTCAAAAAAATAACAGCAGATCAATACATTTAATTTAAAATAAATGAAATAAAAAGTATAGAAAATAACAATTATTAAAAGAAAAGAAAGCATTCGCAAATCAAACTTTTCAAAACAAATCAAAATCAAAAATAATCAAAATAAAATAAATTTCAAAGTAAAAATAATAAAATAAAAATAAAAATAAAAACAAAAATTAAAGCAAATATATAGAAATAAAAAAAAAAACAAAATTAAAAAATAAAAAGAAAATAAAGAAAATAAAAATTGAATTCATTATCAAATCAAATTATTCAATTGAAATCTTGTAACAATATTTAATTTTTTAAAATATTCAATCAAAAATTCATTTTTCAGTTTTTATATTGAATAAAAGTTTCAAATTTAAATTATTTTACTTTAAACTTCTCTTTCAATCTCAATCTTAACTCTGTATACTTTGTATAAAGTAAAAAGAAAATGCTTTGAATTTTTATATAATTGATAATTTAAATATAAGTCATTTAAGTCATTTCTAATCTTTGTTAAATATGGATTAAAAAATTATCATGTTCCAAGTTTTAG